CTGGCAATGCAGCTGTAGGTGGGCGAGGTGGTGTTACAGGTGCATAAAGGCTGTGTGGTCAGTAGTTTCTACAAATTCAGTGTAGTCTCAGCTCCTGGACCAGTGCTAGGTCCACGTCCATTTCATAAAAGAAAAACCAAGCAAGGCAACCCAACAATACCAAAAAACAAATACACTCCCACAGAAACTCGATAAGCAATGAGACAGGAAAAACAAAAGTATATAAAAGAGACACAAATGCAAACACAAAAACAGGAGAACAAGACAGAAAAAGTGACCAAAGCAATATCCAGATCAACGTCTGAGAAACAACAAAAACAAAACAGATGAAATAAAAGAAGGAGAAGGAACAAAAAGACGAAAGAGAAAGAAAAGAAAAAAATAAAAAGAAAAGAAGGAGGGGCCAGCCGAGTGGAGCGACGGTTAAGAACTGGCTTGGGACGCCAGAGGGCCCTGGTTCGGATCCCACATATGAGGGCCAGTGACACTGCCCTCTACAGCTAAGATGCTGCACAACAGCTCAACCTGGAGCTGGGCTGCCGTGAGTCGCCGGCGACGGTGTACGCTGCAGCCCCTGCTGCAGTGGGTTGCCATGGGCTACCGTGTGTAGCCAGCAGCCAGCATGAGCGGCCAGCAGCCGCAGTGAGCGGCCGTCCAGAAGCCGGCGACTGATCTGCCTCGCCCGGGAAGAGCGCAATGATGGTGCCAACTTGGGCCAGTGAAGCAACGTCCTCCACAACTAGACTGAAGAACAAAAAACGACAGCAACTTGTCTGTTCCCCTTCCCCCAATTCCCCAGCACTGTTCCCATTCCCCAATTCCCCAATAAAAATCTTTAAAAAAAAAAAAAGGAGGAAGAAAAAAGAAAAAAAAGGAAAAAATAAATTAAAAAAAAAAGGCTCTCCACTCACTGTAATCTGCAGACCACTTGCTCAGTAACAGAGAGTCTCTGGGGGGACTCAGCATCAGCTATGTTGGGGGGAAGGGCTCAACGTGTTATGTGCCAGCCTCCCTCTCAGGTTTGCAGTGAGCTTGTCGCAATTAGCTGCTGTGTGCTCTGGAACCATGCTCACCACCAAAAATCCTCACAGGTTTTGCGGGCTGTCTGCTGCTGCAAAAAACCCTCTGTGGCCTGCGGAGGTGGGGGCCAGGCATCAGGGACTCAGGGTGCCCCTGGCAACACAGCTCTAGGTGGGTGCGATAGGGCCCCAAGGCACCATGGGGTGTGGTCAGTGGGTCCCAACAAGTCAGAGCAGCATGCACTCCTGCATCAGCAGCCAGCCCACACAAATTCGCCAGGAATGCCCCGGTCAGATCTTGCAGGCGCACAGCTCATGGCCCAACACTCCCAGGAAAACTCCCAGTCTCAGCCTGTCCCAATCAGCTGCTGGCATATCAGGCCGAGCAGCCCGACAGCCAATCGCCAGCCTGGCAACTCTGTGCACGCATTGTGGAGAGTGGGGACCCAAGGCGGCTTGCACACTCTCCCGTTTCAATGAGCAGCCTGTTGGAGCTGGAGCACGCCCGCCAGGCGTTTTCCTGGCTACACAGCATAAGCAGTGCGATGGGGAGCCAAGGCCGCATGCACACGCATGTGCACACACACTCCTGCGCCAATTCCAGCAGACCAATGCAGTTCCGGACCTGACCCTCTGTGGGAGGGCCCAACCCTGAAAAAATGGCACCCGCCTGTGCACTACTCTTGTGCAAGCTCCACACCAGTGGAACAATGATCCCAAAACCTCCAGCTCCCACACCAAAGGCACTCAGTTCAGTCCTTCCCCACAGGCTCCTGGGCCCCGCTCACACAGCTACTCCCTTCACCAGGGACCGGGTGAGTGCTCACCAGTGAGCGAGTCCGTGCACTGGCTCCACTGGTTCTCTAGCTCCCCTCAGCCTCACCGAGTTGAGCAAAGAGTCCTCACTAATTTCTACCACCAGCTATCATGGAACTTTTCTCCGCAAAGTAACTCTGGGCTGGTGAGCTCGGTGTGGGGCCAGAAGGTCTCTCACCCAACCGGAGAAGCCTCCCCACCGCTGAGATGCCCCTCACGGGGTTCGCCCTCTCTCGCCTCCGCCCCTCCTACCAGACTCGACGTGGTCTCCTCTTTAAGTCCTTCGTTTAGAGGTTCTGCTCATCTAGTGTTCAGGGGACTTCCGAGGTTGAATGTTGTATAAATTATTTGTAATTTTGGTGTGATCCTCGGAGGCAGTTGGCACAGCGTCTGTCTATTCCTCCATCTTACTGGAAGTCTGTTTTCATTTTCACAATGGATGTACAAAGTTACCGCGGGCCGGCTGAGTGGCTCAGTTGGTTAAGAGCTCGCTCAAGAGTGTGAGCTCTGAGCAACAGCGGTTCGAGTCCCGGCCCGAGCTGAGCAGCCGCTGAGCTACCAACAGGTGGCAGGATGGCTCAGCTAAAAAAAAAAAAAAGGTACCACAAACTCAACATGCCTCTATAAATGGCTTTCCCCAAACCTACACCTCTTATACTATCTTATTCAGAGCAGTAGTATCCTAAGTCATCAAAACCAGAAACCTGGGCATCATCCTAGACCTTTCTTCTCCTCTTCCAATCCACGCTTTAGTGCCTGACATACAACACAAACAGAACAAATATTGAATGAATGAAAGAATGTATCCATTTTTATTTCCATTCCCCTAGACTCTCTCCCTGCCTACTTCCAATGCAGTGGTCAGGCCCTCACCATCACTTGGCTGGATGACTGCCACTTTATTAATTTTCATGCTCATTTTATTTTCCATGTTCTTTCTTCATTACCACTTCGCTAGCCTACAACACATTCAAGATTCTTACATGTTTGTGTGTACAAATAATCTTCTTTCCCTAAGCAATTGCCACATTTCTATCTCACCCTTCTTCCCTTTGTCCACAGGCATCTTTTAAGGTCTCTAGCTTGTTTCCTGACAAGATTCATTAACTAGAGTATCTTTTTAGTGGGAGTGGTCCTAAACTAAATTTTAGAGAAACATAACTTGTTTAAAGTCCATGATGTAGATTCTTGAGCCAGGGTTCAAAATGGCGTTCTAGATGCCTAACTGTATTCTCAATCATCCTATTACACTCTCTGGGCTAAACCATACCAGGTTCTACAAGAAATCACAAGGACATAGTCATTCCTCAGGAAGCATACAGCCTATTGAGGCTGTAACACGAGACAACTATCATGCAAGATAAACATCAGAAAGTACAAAGATGCGAAGTGTTATTAGAGTCCTACTGAGAGCAAGAGAGGTTCCTGGCTTCCAACTAATTAGGAGACTGAAAAGGATACATGGAAGAGGTGGACTTCCAAGTTGAAAGGAAGGATAGGATTTCAAACAATTGCTGGTAAATAGGAAAAGGTAACTTTAGACAAAGTAACATTGACAGCAGCATTGAGCCAGGAAGGCACACAGCATGCTCATGAGATAGGGACATCATTTGATTAAAGCCAAAGGTGGGTGATGTAAGGGGTAAGACAGGAACAGTGGTTTGAGACACGGTTCTGGGTGATTTGGACTTTATCTGGAGTCTACAGGGGTCTAGTGAAGCTTTCCGTGCACAGTATTGCAATGAGTTCTTCTTTAGGAAGATCATTTTAGCAGCAGGTTGTAGGACTGCAAGAGGAGGGACACTGAAAGAAAGTGTATTTCATAGGAGACTTAAGATAGTTCTAGTACAGGGTCACCAGGTCTTGACCCTGGGAGAGAAACAGAAGAAATGAGAAGGGAATCGATTTCAGAAACAAGCAACTCAAGTTGGTCTTGGCACACAATAATGATACCTAAACAATGTAACTGAAAATAAGCATTTTGCTTTGTCTCTGTTATTAGAGGCTGAGAAATACTTTTAACTGAAATTTAGAAGCTAAGTTGGGTTGATAAGTCTGTTATGCACGCACACACACACATACATTTATGTACACATACAAATACATATACATTTATACACATATATAGTAAGGGCATTTGAAATAAAGATCTAGGAAATAACATAGGTTAAAATCAAGGTAACTCGAGACTTGACTATGGAAGCAATAAGAAGGCAATTTATTAGTTTTATTAAATTTTGTCTGATTTTAGATTAAACAGTTACATATGTATAAATTTAAAATAGAACCTTTTTAGCCCCCTCAAAATACTCCCTTAAAGCAGTTCATCCCATTAACTGACTTTAATAAAAATATAATTTTCTGTGTATTAACAAGTGGGCAGCTTCACCTTAATTGGCTTTAATTACAGAGTTTCCATTTCACCCAGTTAGTTAAGAAAAATACTTAAAATTATTCATTCTTTAGAGAATTTTTAAAATGTGACAAGGGAAAGGAAGATGAGCATTTTTTATTTCTTCATATGCGTTAAATGATTAGACAGCAAGCCACACTTCCCTGTTTTGAACAATCTTCTATTCTTAGCCACTTCAAAAGGAAGTTTGAAGAAATGAATTCTCTGATCCCAAAGGACTTCCTAGAATTATATATGTTAATGATTATAACAGGAATCTTGAAAAGCTTACCAATACATTTTCAAGGAAGAATGTTCACAGACAGCACACAGATTTAAGAGGCAAAATCAGTTCTATCATTAAGGATTTAAGCTCTGGATCTGCTTATCCGTAGAACAAGGAGGTTCTACTAGACGGGTTCTAAGTTTCCTTCTGGCAATATAGCACTACGATTTATCCACAGCAGATACTGAGTACCCACAACTTGCAAAGCACTGTTACAAAGTCACAAATTTTATCTGCCCTTGAGAGCAACACCTGTTAGTCCTTTTTATTTAGCTTCCCATTCTTCCGAGTTTGGGATAGTAAATAACGAACTAGCTGTTGAACTTACTCTGTTTCCACAGACACTGTCTAAACCTCCACTGCCCAATATAATAGACACTAGCCACGTATGACAACTGATTGCATAAATGTTGGCTGGTCTAGATAGAGATGTGATGAAAGTGTAAAATACACAGTGGATATCAAACACAATACAAAAAACAGAATGTAAAATAACAATAATTTTTAATATATTGCATTACATGTTACAATATTTTAGAGCTACTGGGTTAAATATTAAAATTAATTTTACGTTTTACTCTTTAAAAAAAATTGGGTATAGAAAACTAAAATTATACAAGTGGCTTCCATTATACTGCTATGGATCTAAACTCTAAGGCCCTCATCCACAGATCACCATGACTTCTCTTCAAGGACCTGATTACAAAGACAGAGTAATCAACAATTATTCACATCACTCTTATAATTCCCCTCGTCTTATTTCTGTCTGGCAAACCATCTACCTTCCTTATTATTTGAAACCATATCCTTCACTGTGAAGGATAGGAATTATAATTATTTGATTCTGTATTTTGGATAAGGAAGGGGATTATGATTGTCTTTTTTTCAATACTTTGAAACAGACTGTCACAGAGAGCTAGCATAACATACACATTTCCTGACTACAGAATATTATTATGGAAATGCTTCCAAAGTTCCAACCCATGACTGGACTTCCTTTTCACAGGTTTATCTTCCTTCCTCACTACCAGTGACATCCCTTCCTTTAAAACAGAATGATGTTTGCTCAGCCTACCTGTAGTTACTGTGACTGAATTTCTGCTGTCTCCTTGACTCTTGTTAATCACGTGACTGTCCATGCAGGGAGCCACAAGAAAAGTGAAGTAGCCATTTAGCCTTGTAACTAGTCACATGCTTTATTTAAAAACAGAAAAATAGAAGTCTTTATAATTCACTTTGATACCAAGAAGCATTTTTAAGGGAATCTTCCTTCTCTACTCATCTGATGTCCTTCCTTTAAAGAAACCTGCTTTACGAGGCTTATTTTATATTTAAAAAACATGTATGAAACAATTTGTACAAGGAACTTGTAAAACTTTACTAGAGCTGGATAATAAAATAAAAATGTTTAAAGAATAGCAACAATGAAGCAAGGGTATATATGTATAAAACAAGCCAAATAGTTGAAAATAGCTCACCAAAAAACACAAGCAAGAAAACTTACTCTTTTATGTCTTAGAAATAACTTTTACATACATTTATTTTTCTCTAGCCTTGTTTGACTTTGCTAATAAGAAAGCAGTTTGATTAGAATTTGATTTTCTAATAGAATAATATTTATATTGAAGTTTGGTATTTTAAACAAAAGTATTTTAAAGTAGAAAGGCACTTCAAAAATCAGTTTTATATTTGTTTTACCAATTTAAGTGATATGCCCAAAGTCACATACCTAACTTAGTGACAAAAGGCAGGACTGAACACATGTATGTTGACCCCAAGTTCAGCTTGTTCCACTGTATTATGCTGCCTTAGTCCTTCTTTAACTTTTATCTGGTTAAAGAAAAAAGAAATATTTAAATTCAGATCTATATAACTAAAAAATTATTTTATCAGTACTATTAAAGCTTTTGTTCTATTTATTTGCAATGAAAGTATTTTAGTACTATGAATAGGAGATGTGAAGATTGATGGGTGGAGACTGGCAGATGCTGAAGAAATTAAATCCTGTTAAAATGTTGATAGCTATCTGAGGTTCATATAATTTACTTGAAATTTCCAACAGAGTCCTTATCGTTTAGTAAAGGTTGTTAAGGGGAATGAAATCTGGAATGGGGTCCTGGTCTGTTACTCTCTTCAGCTTGATCAAGACTGAAAATATTTATTATTTTGTTTGGAGGTACTAAATGGTCTAATGTTCTAATTACTGTGGAATGAAAGATTTTGGCTTGAACAGTTATTATCCTATATATATATAAACTGTCTTTGGAAATAATATAACTATGGATATAATACTAGGATATCATTGTAGTGAAACTATTCCCAGTAAGTCTATATTTTGCTCAATATTAATGGGTAAGCAAGATAGCATCTGATATATAGATTACCATGAGTTATTCATTATGAGTTTCTAAGGTATCTCCAATAGAAGCAACAATAGAAGGCTGTACTATTTCTGCTTCAGTTTCTTCTTAAGAGAGCACACATTATTTTGCATCTTCCAAGATTTTGTTTTCCTGTTCAAGTCTTTATTATTAACCTGTTTTGTGTCAGGTACTCTTCTGGGTTCTAGGAGTATAAATACCTACAGTAGGTTTAACATTTCAACTAAAATAAGTGGTGGGAGCAAACATACCTGAGGACACCCGATATATTAATTGTATCCAGTAGGCTTCTAGAGAGGACTCAGTTACACATACCATATCTTACTCCTCTGGGAGGAGATTTAGTTGTTAAGCTTGAGAAGTGGGATATCTTTAAGAATACATCTTAAAAATGAAAATAACTCTAATGCCAGTCACAAGTTAAGCTTTCACCAGTATCAAGGATTAGATAATAGTCATCTAAACAGGATACAGAATAGGTAAGAATGTTGCCAAAAACAAATTTCATTTTTCTTCATATTTGCTTTGTGTTATCCTTGGTTATTCATGGGGTATTTTAGCATGCTACCATTTTTTTGTCAATTATGACCACAGGTGATCTATATATTTAGTTTAAAATGAAAACTAAGGCAAAAAATAAATATATGCAGCCTTGGAATTTGAAGATAATAGATGATCAAAATTCGTAAGACTTGAACAGAATCACATAAATACATTTTTTCTTAAATTGGACACATATAATAGGGTTGGATGAAAACAAAGACAATTAATCTCTCCTTTACTCAATCAAGACAAGGGCATTCCCTAGAGTTGGATCAAGAGATGAATGTTCTTTGGTTTGTGATGATTTCATAAGAACACCTAAGCTTCATTTAATTATTTAATGATGAAAGAGTTCAGCTTTTTCTATCAATTAAAAAAATTAATGTATCATAGCATCACCTATATACATCTAGAAGAAAAAGTTTCTTCCTGTTAAAAATGCTTTTAAAAGATCCCTAATGTTTACATACCCAAATAATTTGTTACTAATACTTCACAAGGAATATCATTTTATTACTGTAATCACAAAATCATAGTTTCTGTACAGGAATGTATAACTGAACATTAATCAACGCATTGATAATTCACTTCATAGAGGGTGAGCACACTACAGAACACACTGTAAAGAAAAAAACATTGTAAAATTGTCTGGCCTTGCAGCACTGTTTAGTGCAAGTATTTAAGACACAATAGTGTTCAATTCAGCAAAGTATTGCAGAATGTCATGCCACAGTCCACTTAATTCAAAGAAGGTCAGGACATGCAGCTCGTAACAAAATGTCAGAATGTGTGAGCGTGCGTGCGTGCGTTTTGTGTGTGTGTGTGTGTGTGTGTGTGTGTGTGTGTGTGTGTGTGTAGCCCACATGTAACTCATAAAATATATAGTGGTTTATTTAGATGGTTTTAAATGATTTCACTGTGGAATTCAGCATAACTGGAACAAACATCCAAGGTCTTCTTAACAGGAGTAATCTTGCTAGGCAATGGCTTTGGCTTCAGGTAGGAATGCCTCCCAATATTTTATTAGCTGTGGATGATAAACATATCATTACCCTTTTGTCATTTATATGCATATATCCCATAGAGCATTAAAAAAAATCTATACAAATAGCTAATAGCGATTCACATTTACTAAAGTCTGGTTCTTAAAGGAATCATTTTAATTCTCTTATCTGAAGTTTGTCAATATAATTCATGTGTAAATTATTTAAATGAATTACTCCTGGCTAATTTGTTTTTGCTGTAAGCAATATGATTTTTAAAATACCCCAAAACTTAAGATTTTTTGATTTATGCAAATTTGCATACAGAAACAGATTAGTGTAAATTAAATAAGGTTACCTTAAATAATAAAACTGCAATGAACTTTTCCAATATAAAGTGATAACATCTCCTAATTCAGAGGATATTCACATTTTATGTTACTGCTAGCCAAAAAGAATGAGAAAAAAAGGAGAAAGAAAACATTGGGCAAGAAAGAAAGAGACTGGAAAGAAGTAGTTGCCAATTTTTCCAGGGTGGTTCAGAGAACAGATTGAAGGATAAACTAAAGTTATGTTTGTAACAATTCCTTTAAATACAAGTTTATATAAGTTATATTTTAAAAATCTAACTTTATGAACTAAGTATTTAAAATAATAATTAAATATAATTTGAAAATATGTCACCATCTAATTAAAACAATTGTATAGACAAGTTTGTAATCAACATATTTTAAAATTGGTGGAAGAAATCCTTCTATTCAAGACATTTAATAATTTGATTACTCAAATTTATATTAATGGATTACTCAAATTTATATTAAAATAAATAGGAAAAAAACTCTATTATCTTGTTATAGACTTTTATTTAACATAATATGAAAGCCATTGTCTTCTACTTGTGGCATATACTGTATTTTGCCGTGTATAATGCACACCTACATTTTTGGCCCAAACATTCAGGGAAAAAATCTTTTAATTTTTAATTCAAATGTTTGTTTGTTTACATTTAGGTACTTGTTTTTTATATTATAAAGAAAGTTTAGCATTTATTTTTTAACATATTATGGTACAAGAAATTGTATGTTAACAAATAATTACAAAACACAAGAAAAGATACAAGGTACAAGAAATTTTATGTTCCGATAATAAATTTATGACATTTACGCATCATAGAAGGCAAAGAACTCTTTGTCACTGCAAGTTTGTCTTAAGTTCAACAAAAGCGATTATTATATTCCAGGATATTATTTTGCATACAGATATCGTTATTTATTTCTAGAGTTACACTTTTAACTCATAAGCATAAATAAAAGAAGTAAAAACACTTATAGAGATAGGAATTAGTACTACCCACATATAATGCGCATCCTTATTTTTCCCTCACAAATTTGGGCAAAAAAGTGTGCACTGTACATGGCAAAATATGGTAATAACCAATAACTCCACATAAAATAAAATCAAAATCAATACTATTTTAAAAAACCTTAAAATATTTGTTTTTAGTTTAAGTTCTGTCTTTTACGGAAGAGAAGAACTTACTGTAAGAATTTACTCAAAACAGGTACGATCAATAGGGAAAGAAAACTTGGAAGACAGGGAAAAGGAAAAGTTGTCCAGTACATTTCCCATAGCCTAAAAATGGGAAAAGTATATCTAGCCTAGTGCAGAGAAAGAGTTAAGGCAAAAGGACCTGAGAGTTCCCAATTACTTTAAATACAATTTTTAAACTTTGCTGTTATTGGTTTTCTCTACTTCATGTCTTATGACTCCTTAAGTTTAAAAGCTCATTTCATTGATTATCATCTTTAAAATGAAAAAGTATACCAAAAAACAATTCTGGAAGAAGTTTGTAAGTTGTAAGTTATAAAAAAAAAATGGCTTACCTGTTGTTGTGTTTGTACTAATGATTCTAAGTACTTGATAATTACAGTTTTAAAATCTTTCACTCGTTCTTTCTGTTAAAAGTATAATACACGAGAAAAGGTCCATTAGTACAAAGTTAAATTTGATTTTTCCACAAAAATCACAACAAAATGTGAGTACATTGTTAACAAAAATGTGAAATTATTATACTTGCCTCAAATCTTCCCACTTCTTTCCGAATCGTTTTAGAGATCTGTTCAAAATCTCTTTCTCCTTGTTGTACTTTTGCCTCCCACTAACAAAAACAAAAATGCATAAATTTCTTATTCTCGTCTGGAAAAAATTATAGAACGAGCTGTCATGACCACTCATTTATTTTAATGTAATGCTTTAAAACCATGAGAAAGCACAATTCTGGCAAAGCCTATTTAGCATCATTCAAGCTTGTATTTAACCTTCTAGTAGTAGAGATGCAGTGTCAGCCAAATTTCCATTAATATTTCATTGTCAGATTTACTCTAGATTAGGATATTCTAGTACTTACTGAATTCAATCTCCATCACTTAATTAACTATAAGATAGATGAAATGATTCTGAGCATAAAATTCACTATCAAATAATTTAGCAATGTGAGATTATAATTTATTCATTTTTTTATATCATTATTTCAAAATATATCAAGTATATTCAGTTAATTTCAAGACTACATGTTCATCACAATTTATATGCCCATGGAAATGCTTTAAATTAGGAAAATTGTATGACAAACATTTAAAAAACAATTTTGTAATGGTAAAAGGTGCAGATTAAAAAAAAAGTAGGTGAATTATGGTCTACTGAAGACCTATCGGTAAACATTAAGTTCAGTACAGAAAAAACAAAACGTGATCAGTGACTAATGGAACAGCTAAAATAAAATAACTGAAGACTTAAGTTATGAAATGATATTTTCCCACTATGTAACCAGAACACTGGTACATACTCTTCAAAGAGCAGGTACATTGACTTTTAGTAATATAAAGGTTGTCCTACCTCTTCAATTTCCTTATTGAAGCATGGCAAAAAAAGTGTATAAATTGTAATAAACTTATACAAATTTACTAAAATACCATATATAATACATATATATGGGGGATGTTGCCTGGACAGCTAAATGTGGAACAGGTCTACCTCTAGAACTGTTTTTAAACACAAAATAAGTAATTATCTGAAATCAAATTAATTATCTCAAAAGAAATGTATAATTATTAATTAAATGTAAATTTAAATCTTTTCCTTGTATGCTTCTTTCTCCATTCCATAATCATGTGAAAGTAATGAAGGGCTCTGGAGATTCTAATGAAGATCAAAATGTTAAAGTAATTCTAACACAGTTCACAAAATTATGGAAAAATAGCTAGGTGTTGAATGGTTCAGAAAAAAATTTATGAAAAATTATGCATATATGAATGACTCATGGAAATTTTGAGTAAAGAGATAAAGCATTTTGATTAATCACCTCTCTTATTTCATTTTTAGCTTGCTGTATTTTATCTGGTTTGTTAGCAACCATCATTTTTGCCTCAGTTTCACGTTTTTTGAGCAAAGTAATTTGAGCATCTTCCCATTTCTGCCAGCACTTCATTCGATGGTCAAACACACCCTATAAGTGAATGACATAATGCTATTAAGTGACAGTCAACACCAAAATACTATCATAATACTAGAAGTGCTGTAATACTGAAAACAATAAAACCCAGTTTTTGAATTCTATCCTAAAATACTTACATACCAAACATGCCAATATCAAAGAAAATAAATTTGCATATTCTTTTGCTTAAAAACAAAAATCCCAGATATTAAATGAAATATAAGAACGCAAAATTAAAAAAACAACAAAATAACACTATATACAAAATCCATTTTACTAGTCTTTAGAGTTTTAAATGTGGGTTACAGTATGATTTCTAACAAGAGTTTTATGCTTTCAAGAAAGATTTCTTCAATAGGAAAATGCTGGTGTCATATCTACATTGGAAGTTTTCCTACTAAATAATATCAAAAGTAAATAAGTGTTGGAAATATGCCAGAAATTGAAAAAAGAAAATGAGAAAAACTCATTAGATACCAGGAAGTAAAGTTAAGTAAAAATGTGATACGATTACCAACAGCAAATAAAAGAAAGGCAACGCAATTAAAAAGGGTATAACAAAGCAAAACAAAACAAAACAAAATCCTACACAAGATGAAAATGCAGGACTAAATGAAGAAACAGACAAAAAGACTAACAGAACAAGTCAACCAAGTCCACCATTTCTTTTCAAGGGATCTGGCAGAGCAAGAGCAAGTTGAATGGAGGAAAGAAATGAAATATGAACATAGTAATTAGGAGTCTCATGAAGAAAACTAACGGGATACGATGAAATAATACAATAATATCCCTTTTCTAGCTTGATGTTAGGGATATATTCATATTATTTTAGTATTTACTAATAAAACAAATGAAGCAAGCATTAATAAACTAGGTAAACTAGAAAGCATTAAACCAAGGTTATTTTCATTTATTCCAAATAAAAAGCGTTTTGGATCAAGAAACAGTAAAGAAATACATGTTCTTACAGGGACCTGCTGAAGAGGAAAGCATGTAGATAGTGTACTTAACAAATGTAGGCTTTAGAACAAATCAAAGTTGGATTCAAATACTAGCTTTGTAGTATCCGATCTTGGGTAAATTCATTTAATTTCCATAAGCCATAGTTCTCCCAAATACAAAAGGGGGGAAATGAGATCTGTATTTGTGGATTAGAAAATAAAATGAAAAGTATGTACCACAGTGACTTAACCTAGTGGATGCTTAATAATTAAAAGGTACTACTATGAATTACTTCTAAATAACATATACAAATAAATGTAGTTGGTTGACTCAAAATTTCTACTAAAAGTGAACATAGTAATAACTTAGTAATATGAAAAAAATTAATTGAACTGCATTTATATCATACAGCATATTTTTTTAAATGTGGGCAAGAATATTAAAAACTCCGAATCAACCAGAAACCAAAGTATTTTTTTCCCAGAGTCCTTAAATATTGTGCACATTTTAAATTAAGCAGGACAACGGACATCCTTGGCAAACTGAAAAGTCAAAGCACTCTATCTATAGGTATCTAAATCCACTTTGCTAGATTTAATTTGTCATCTCATACAATTCCTCTTCTCACGTTAGTAGGTACATCTTACTATCCCCTTTGTCTGATTTTCTTATATTTAGGAGACAACACTTTCCTTAAAATATTTATTATGAATTAATTTTGCTTTAGCCAATTTTGGCCAAAATTTAAAAAGTAATAAATCTAACACAGATTCAGAAAAAGTCACTATCATTTAAAACAAACAATCCTTGCCCCTTACCCTCTATGCATACACAAACACAAAACCAAAAAACAATTCAAGATTTTAGGCTTAATTTTTTCTTTAGGGGAACAGGGTCATATCAGCTCTTCAATTATAAATTCCTCTGTTTGATAACAATTTGATTAACTTAAAATATGTACCAGTACAGGGCAAAAGTTAACAAAAATGCCCTTTAATCTCAATATCTGCTTAAATTTTTAATATATATCAACCGGCATTTTTAGTGATATACTATTATAGTTTAAACTAATTTGGTCCCTGATCCATTTATTATCTCATAATATTCCAGAGCCATCATTGTGGTATAGATGTGGGAGCTCTGGTAAAAGTAAAATGACTCAAGTGAGGTCATTTTAGGGGAAAAAAAAAATTATAACTCTGTAAGAATTAATTTTCTTCATTTTTTCCCCTACCATTGTGACACTAGAAAATAAAATAAGAACCAGAACCATACTTGATCTTCTAAAAATGCTATCTTAAAATCAATGAAATCATAACAGTGTTTGCCTTTGTATGTCAAGATAATCCACGCTAATGGAACCAGACTTTTCTATAACAGAGATTTACACTGACGATCCACTTTGGACTTCCACCCCCCTGCCAATTTAGGGTACACATTTGCATGCAAGCTGTTCTAGGCTAGACAAGGCTGCAGCTGTGGTGCAGTTCTCCTGGCCTAGAAAATCTGATGCTGCAATTTTAATTTAATTAATACCATATTCTAATTCTGTGCATCTGAAAGTATGCTGCCCAGGTTCCTGGAATCCTGAAAGGATGCTGATTACATACAGCCAAAAAATGAAGCTTTGAAAATCCTTGGGGGACCCATCTATTGTTTTTTGTTTGTTAGTTTTAATATTTTATATATTTTATAAATGTGGATTCCCTGTAAGAATTCTTGATGAAAAGTTCTAGTACTAAGCATTACCGCCAATCCCTGATCCTACTTTAGTGGTTCACAGAAGGCCAATACATGAGAATGCAGGCAATGAGTTTCCTGTATATAAGACCAGGCCTACACAATATATTTTTTTTTTAGTGAAAAGCAGTTTATTAGAAGAGGTAGTACACTTCAGAGAAATAGAAGTGGGCCCGAGCAGTAGAGGATGGCTCAAGGACCCATTATTAGAAGAGAAATTACACCCCAAAGAGACTGGAGTGGGCCAAGCAAAGAAGAAGCTCAAAAGGCTCCTAGGCAATATTTTGAATGGGTAAAATTTATCATTCTTTATGGCCCCAATATCTGATGATCTTAGCTTCCCAATTTGACTCTATATTTTAATTCCCAAAGTATTCCTAGTTTGAAAATTATTATCAGAAAAGTAATCTTAATACAGATAAAACAAAAGGCTAAGGAGTATTGAATGACTGTTAAAACTAAATAAAACACACAAAAAAACTGGACAAAGGACATGAAATAGTTCATTAAAAAGAGAAATGCAGGGCCAGACGAGTGGCGCATTGGTTAAGAACTGGCTTGGGACGCCAGAGGGCCCCTGTTCGGATCCCACATATAAGGGCCAGTGACACTGCCCTCTACAGCTAAGATGCTGAACAACAGCTCAACCTGGAGCTGGGCTGCCGTGAGTCGCTGGCGATGGCAGGTGGGTTGCCATGGGCTACCGTGTATAGTCAGCAGCCAGCGAGAGCGGCCGACCCGAAGCCAGCGACTGATCTGCCTCGCCAGGGAAGCTGGCAATGATGGTGCCAACTTGGGCCAGTGAAGCAACGTCCTCCACAGCTAGATTGAAGAACAAAACGACAGCAACTTCTCTGTTCCCCTTCCCCCAATTCCCCAATAAAAATCTTTAAAAAAAAAAAAAGAGAAATGCAATGGCTTATCATTTGTAAAGATGCCTAAATTCACAGTAACCAAAGAAATTAAAACATATACAAAAACACCTTCATCACTGGGTGGGGGAAGGAGGAACACATATGTTGATCTGAGTACAAATAAGTATAATCTCTTTGGGCCATAGTAATATGGCAATATTTATTGAAATTCATATACCCTATGGCCAAGCAATTCTATTCTACTTATAGAAATTTTATGCCCAAAGAGTTATTATCAAAATATTTAATACTTAAGATTGGACTGGTTAAATAATTCAAAGTACACCTATATGCTATGGAATACTATGCAACAATTAAAAAGAATGTAACATGCTGACAGAGACCTCTCTAAAATGGAGTGGGGAAAAAAAATCAAGGAAAGAACAGTGCATATAGTATGTTCCTTTTTGAAGAAGGAAGGAAGAGACTCAGGGGAAAAGAGAGAGGATTAGCTCCATATACAAAGGGTGCCAAAAAAAACATACACATTTTAAGAAAGAAAAAAACTGTATTAAAATTGTAATAATATATACTGATAACAAAAGATGATATAAGTCACAATCGACTTCTGCAATTATAAGAAGTACACAAAATGGTTATCATCAGCATAATTTTAATATAGGTTTTTCTTTCTTAAAATGTGTATACATTTTTTTGGCACCGTGTGTATGCGTGTGTGTGTGTGTGTGTGTGTGTGTGTGTGTGTGTGTGTGTGCATAGCTAATTCTGTGAAATAAAAACACATAAGAATCTAACAGCATTTGACTGGGGAAAGAGAGACTAGAGGCCTTAGGGTAGAAAAGAAATTTACCTTTTTGGGCTGTTACAATTATTATGTACATGTATTACTTTTTCAAATACGAATGAATTCATTTTAAATAAAAAACAAACCAAAAATGAAGACCACCAAAATTACCTGTTACCCTGGTGCCATAATTTCTCAACTCCTTTGTGCGGCTGACCTGGGCTAGGTTTCAGTAGAAAACCAATGTGAAAGAGCTTAATTTACCTCAAGGTATGTATAACCTGACCATAGTTTTTTAACAATTTTAGTCAACGAATCACTAATTCAGTATTTCCCGAAGTGTGTTCCATATAAGTAAAAATATATTAAGTGGAAAATGATTCCTGTTCATATGAATTTGGAAGTCTCTAGATCAACGTTCAATATTTTATTTTTACTCCTAGACAGTTCTAAGCTTTTTACATGCACTGTGAATGTACAAGACAGGGAGGGATACTGTATATATTATCTCCCAAACTCAGTTGGCTGTGGTACATCTTTTGGTGTCAGTGTTCTGTAGAACATGCTTTGGGAAATGTGCATTTAACTGCGATTTCACAGAACGTAAAAATACAGCAAGATTTAGGCTGTATGAGGAAAGCTGTTTTTTTGAGGGATCAACATTCATTTACATCGACAGGCCGTCACTGCCAGGGAGGCAGTCTTTCCCCAGGTGAGCTCGTTTTAGCAGGTCCCCCTTCTCACAGACACTGCCCAGCTCCCCTTTTTGGACCCACAGGTTTTTTGAAGGTTTTACATTTTATTTTTTTTACAACAGCTCTCATGCTAGTGGGAACTCTGGAATGAGGTAAGAGTAAGTGGACAATAAAAAGGAGCCATTGTCTGTAAACTGGATTTCTGTATATCACAAGTTACCTATATATAAAATGAAGTGTACTGATAACTGCTATCTATATTAACATATTTAAATAACTGGAAAGAAAAATTAACCATCAGGAATATAAAGAATGACATCTAAGAGTAAATACAAGTAAAATTGATAATTTTACAAAATCTAAGATTCCCAGTTTCCCTCTCCCTATGATAACTAATGTTCATAACAATAGTTCAAAAACAAGATCTTAAAGTATCTTCTGAAACTTAAGATAGAAAAATTAACATTCAGTTCAGTTTAATTGTCTGAACGTTGGAGACATCTTAGAATATTTTCATTACTTAACTGGATTACTTTTCCAACCATTTAGAAATTAAAGACTGTTCATCCTTAAAACATTACCACTAGATAACACAATTTATTATATAATCTAGTCCCATCCCATCTATAAATGCATTTCGGAAATACACAGAACATTTGCAGTCAAAATTCATGCTAAAGTCAACATTAAATATTGTCAAACAACAATTAGTTCTGGTTTTGTGCTGCTTCTTATTATAGCTTTACTAATGATAATAAAATACAATGGGTAGTGTCAGTTCATGCTATAATAGAAAGAGCAAACAAATGCTACCAGTTACCTATAATCTTGTACATATAAATATATAAGTAAATGTATTTTATCTTATTTGGCATTCCTTACACGTCTTAAAAATATCAGTTTTGCTTATTGTACTGTCCATGTCATAGGGGAAAAAATGTAAAGCTATTAATAATTATCTTGAAGCATTTTAGATGCACTATAGTATGAAATTTACACCCTTAAATACATGTCCAAATTCTTCTACAAGCAAACCACTGAAGTGAAAAGAGTTTAAGGAAAATTGGAAAATAAGGCTTACTTTCACTGCAGCAATAAGACGAATGTAGTCACTAAGTAGTTCTGAAAACATATAAAAGTCAGCAAAAGCTTGTTCTTGATGTAACTGGTCTATCTTCTCCTCAACCTCTGCAAGCTGAGACAACGCTCTAGATAGAGCAGTATGATCCTCTGAATTACCTAACATGGCAGCACTTTTTGCAAAGGCAGCAGTGTTGGCTGAAAGTTCTGAAATAGAAAAGTATTCACTTTTAATGTTCATTAGTAAAGTTTTAAAATATTGCATTGATTTTTTACCCTCTAAGCTTTATCTATTCACAAATTACTCAAATAATATTTTAAAATAATAGAAAACAACCAGTCATTAAAATGCCTTGTGAATAAATGTCAACTGCTCAAAGTTCTACTGAAAGTTAAGAAGAACCACTGTCTATATTCCCAGAAGATGAGCTATGTTTAATAATTTAATACAATAATCTGCATCCTCTTTCTCCCTTAAAGTGCTAATTATTTTTATTCCTTAAAAAAAAAAAAGAAAAGAAAAAAGGAAAGAAAAAGAAATATATTTAAATATGTAAAGCACTAGGAACACTTACAATTGATTTAAACTACTTGGCCCTCAAACATTTATTTGTCATTGAAAACATGTCTATAATTTTTATGAGAATATTATTTAGCCAACAGGAGGAAAGCAAGGTAAAACTGTTCATACAATTCACATAAATCTTAATTCCTTTTTTCTTTGTATGCAACAATGCTTAGTGAAATGTTAAGAACGCCTAATAAGATTTTTGAACATGATTATTTTAGATACATCAAATAAAGCATAAGATGCTCATGGGCTGGATACCGCCAATGGCACAATGATATTGCCTGCAGTTCCTCCGTTGCTCTGCACTATGTCAAGTGCTCTAAAAGCCTCAAAGCTCACTCCCTGAGAGATACAGTACAAACGACAAAAGCTGTTACAAGCTACTTTCAGTAATAAATGTATTAATTTCTGTATTTTATTGAAATGCATTATTGTTCTTATGACATATAGTGAATTACTTATTTAGTATTTTAGAAATTTGATATTAAAAGCCTTCTTTACAAACAAAACCAAAAAAAAACCCTTACCATGAAATTTAAAAATTACAACTAAAATTTTCTATGAATTTTACAAAAAAAAAACAAAAAAAACACCTTCACTCATTAAACTGTAAATATGTTTAAGCAAGAGTTAATCAAATGAACAAGTTTAGTGCAAAATTCAAAATATATTTTTATAAGTCCAGGATTTTCCTACTTCTAAAGTGGAAGTTAGATTAAAATAGAAAAAATTTGTTAAAGTTGAAACAGAAAACATTCTCTTAAACTATTTTCTCTCTTTTGTAATAACTTCAAAATATTCATTTTAATAAAATTTAAATAAAATGCTTGAATTAACCCATGGTGTTAAACAGATAAATAACAAGGCACACAAACCTTTCCTATGACAGACCAAAGCTTCAACACTGGCATGAAGTTTCCTAAGTTGCTGATCCAGATTTTCAAATTGCTGCTGCTTTTCTTCAAACCACTAAGAAAAAAATGAAAAATGGAGCTAATTTAGCCAGAACAAACCTCTATAAATTAGGTTACCAACAGCAAGCTACACTCCTTGTTTTAAAGCAACAAATTAACCATGTATAACCATGGTGGTGAGCTGACATGGCTGAGAACTAAACTCAATAAGCAAATTAATATCCTATTTTCTACTTGTAAAGCTTTAAAATGCAATTGTTGGGCTCATTAATTCATCTCATTATTCAAGTCGAAAAATCAGCTCTTACTGCATCCGATTCATTCATCTTGATTGTCATTTTGTTGACAGCGTCGGCAGCCTTGTTCACCATCCTCAATATTCCTGCTCCACTCAGAGCCTGTGTATTAACTGCTCTAGGCAGCTGGAATTGAATGACAAATAAGGGCAAACAAACCGGTTAAAAGCATGAAGGTTTAACTGGGCACAAAAGGGACAGTCTCTCCCCTCCCCCCACAAAAAAAAAAGAAAAAAAAAGGAGGTTGTATTTTCTTCACTCTCATACATTTCAATAGTGAGATCTAATTTCTCAAACACACTACTTGTACAATCTCAAAGGAAAACTTAAAAAATAGACTTTCCATTTGTTTTTCTTGTGCACGTTTACATTTAGATGGAACAACAGTCGGTCAAAATATGTTAAGAAATTTCCAAGTACCTTAACAGTGGCCACCTGTTTGCTAGCAGAAATAAAGTGTTTATAAAGAGAGAAGTAGAAAGTCTTGAGAAAAAAAATCTCTATGTTCAGTTAGGACTGCGTGATTTTGAATTTTTTTAAAATTCTGGATTTCAAATAAATTTTTAAAAGATCTCAAATGGTAACAATTAGAAAGCTAAACTGCTTAAGAGCCCAAAATGTGCCAAATATCTTGAATATAAACAGCAGCATGGTTATTATAATTTAAGCTCTTTCAAGTCACAAATTTGCATTTCAAAATCTTAAGAACATTAGAATGTAGACACGCACACATTCAACTATCTCTAAAGTAGTTCTAAATAAACTTTTTTCAACATGATGCCTAAGCAACAAATTAGGGCACTCAGAATTAGACTACATAAGCCATTTTTTAAAAATCTGGTTTTAAATTTTTAAGAAAGGGACTGACTGATCATCCTATAATTATCACTGCAAAGATATTTTGCCAGTAATTTGTTAAGTAATTAAAGCTAATTAAAGCACTAAGCAAAAAAAAAAATCATTGCTTTATTCCATCTATTAATTCAATTATTTACTGAGCATCTCTATTCTTATATAAATTACTACACTGAAAAATATAAATACTGAGAATATTTATATACAAAAATTTAAGGGCCGGCCGAGTGGCGCGATGGTTAAGAACTCGCTTGGGATGCCAGAGGGCCCCGGTTCGGATCCCACATATGAGGGCCAGTGACACTGCCCTCCACAGCTAAGATGCTGAACAACAGCTCGACCTGGAGCTGGGCTGCCATGAGTCGCCGGCGACGGCGTGGGCTGCAGTCCCTGTGGCAGTGGATTGCCATGGGCTACCGTGTGTGGCCAGCAGCCAGCGTGAGCGGCCAGCAGCCGCAGTGAGCGGCCAGCAGCCGCAGTGAGCGGCCGTCCAGAAGCCGGCGACTGATCTGCCTCGCCAGAGAAGAGCGCAATGATGGTGCCAACTTGGGCCAGTGAAGCAACATCCTCCACAACTAGATTGAAGAACAACAACAACAAAAAAAACGACAGCAACTTGTCTGTTCCCCTTTCCCCAATTCCCCAGCACTGTTCCCATCCCCCCAATTCCCCAATAAAAATCTTTAAAAAAAAAAAAATTTTAAATTAGAAATAACATACCTCTGAACTTTCCAAGAATTGTCTTAAGTCAGGATCCTGTAGTAAAGTTGGATGCTTTACTGTTCTTTGAAGATATCTAGATTTAAGAATAAAATTGCTCCTTTAGTTATCGGTAACATCTTATTTTAAATCTTATTTCAACAAAAAATTAAAAACTAGGTAAAAAGATGTCCTCAGTCTGCCTATCATATCAGTCTGCCTTTACTCTAATTATCTATAACCTTACAGCAATGTAATGATTAAAAAGCTTTTTGGTTCATCTTTTGAAAATTCGTTTTTATGTATAAAGAGACATGGCAGGGGATAAGGGTGGGAGTGGGGAGAGGTTAAATAACTTACCAAGCTTCTCACTGCAAAGTATAAACGAGCAATATGAGTTGTCAAATAATTTTATCTTTGGGTGGAGTTAATATGTTCCCCAATTGTTACTTCAGAGTCCTAAGAAACCTCTCTCTCTCTGTCTCTGTCTCTCTCTCTCTCGCTCTCTCTCTTTATATATATTCCAACTAGTTTTTATTACTATTACATTATTACCAAAATGGAGAAGAGCCTCCAATTTTTTTCCTTGTCAGCAGATTTAAATTATGAAATCAGCTTTGGTCCTTATTTGACAAGGACAAAACTTTCTTCAATATTTCTATTTTTAAGGTTTTGCAATTTTTGATAAATTTCTTTATGACACCACATAAAATAAAAAATGAAAAGAGAAACACCACTATTAAATCACTGTTAGCCCAACTTTAGCCATTCTCCTTACTAGAAAAGTGCACAATTCCGTCATCCTTAATAAATTACCAATCATTCTTTAATAAAAAGGTCCATTATTGATTCTTGATTATTTTTCTAATCCCATTTAAAAAAAAATAAAGATTACATGAAGTAATACTTCAATTATAATATTTCATCTCACAGTTAATATATCTTTATTCCAATTTCTGCAGAATAAATGTAGTCAGTAATTGCTTCTACCTTTTTACAAGATTATAAAACATGCCTGAAATAAAGTTTCTGGAAAAAAAGTGACTACCTTCTCTAACAGTCATATTCTACACAGTGGTTAAAATGACTCCTTTATCACATATTTTTGTATTTTAAATAAAATACATACCATATTAAACTTCATTTTAAATCATTAGCTCACATAAGAAGTCATTATAATAGAGCATTTAATAGATACCTGCAATACAATCTACACTGTGGTTTAAAACAGTATTTGCTGCCTATGTTATCATGCTAAAAAAAGAGATGCAAAAGGACCACTTATCCAGTAAATTCAAGAAATGTTGGCATTTTCCCAGCGGAATTTTACTATTAGGTAAGTTATTAAATTGTTTATCTACTTACTGCTTAAAGCAGTTTGCATAAGTTGGTCATCTGAGTAAATAGCAAGCACTCAGACATTTGTGAAATGAACAAGCAAGAAGGAAGACAAAACATCTAGTACACAACCTGTTAGAAATGTTCCAATATTTCAAAACTAAATAAAAATATGCAATATTACTTATATTCTAAAATAGCTTTCCAAAGTGAGTGCATATTCCTCTCTTTAAGATTCGTAACGAACAGCAGCATATTCGGTACTGTGAGAAGTCCTGCAGGAAAAAAGCCTGGTTTAACTTTGTTAAACCCTATGCTAACAAAACTCAATCGACTATAGATTTCCTTTTTCCACCCCACCACATACTAGCATTCTGAGGAATCAATTTTGGAAATGATATTCTAGAAAATTACAAAACGTTTCATTTTTTAAAAATTAATATTTATTGGGGTGATGTTAGTAAAGTTATATGCGTTTCAAGTGTACAACTCTGTAATATATCATCTATATATCACATGTGTTCACCACCCTGAGTCAGTTCTCCTTCCATCACCATATAATTGACCCCCTTTACCTTCATCTACCACCCACTTTCCTTCTAAAGGATTACATAGAAGTAAAGAGCAACTAACCATTAAAAACAAAAGTATTAAACTTACATAATGTTAAAAATTAAGAACAGAAACATAAATTGAATTTCAAAATTACTATTGATAAATATACATCAATTCAGAATTAAGGTAAGAGAGGGTTATAAATGCATAAAGGAAGGATACAGAACAAAAAGAGGAAAAGAATACAGGAAGAACACATGAAAAGAGGTATCGGAAGAAAAGGAAAAAGGAACACTAAAGGAAGGCAGAAATGAAAGACCCAATGAAATTAATGAAAAGTATTAGACTCAACAACAGGTGGTCAGTAGTTATTCTTCAGATTTGCTCTAAGAAAAGGTTACTGATAAATTTAGAAGAATCACTTAGGGCTTTAAAGTTCCCAACTGCTTACCAAAACCAAAACAAAATGAAGCATGTTATACAAAATGCTTGACATGTACCAAGTTAAAAATATTTCCTTGCTTGTAACTCAAATACACGTGCTAATAATAAGAATAAAAAAAGGGCAAAAAGAGCCTGCTTTTTTTTTTTTTAAAGATTTTATTGAGGAACAGACAAGTTGCTATCCTTTTGTTCTTCAGTCTAGTTGTGGAGGACGTTGCTTCACTGGCCCATGTTGGCATTATCATTGTGCTCTTCCTGGGTGAAGCAGTCACTCGCCGGCTATTGGACGGCCGCTCACCGCGGCTCACGAAAGCTCACGTCCCATGCTGGCCAGCCCTACTGAAGCCTATGCTGTCGCCAGCGACTCACGGTAGCCCAGCTCCAGGTTGAGCTATTGTTCACCATCTTTGCTGTAGAGGGCGCAGTGTCACTGGCCCTCATGTGGGATCTGAACCGGGGTCCTGCTGCTCAGAGCTGGTGTCCCAGGCCAACTCTTAACCAACGTGCCACTCGGCTGGCCCTGGGCATTTTATATATATATCAGTTATTATTCTGAGTACTCAGAATACATCAGTGAACAAAACAAGATCCCTTCCCTAGTAAAACTTGTGTTTTAGTAAGAGAAGACACAATAAACTATAAATGTAACAAACACAAATTATGTAGTATGTGGCAAGGTTGTAAATGCTGTGGATAAAAGAAAGGACAGAATAGTAAATGGGATCAAGCGTGTGAGGTGTGGTTAGTGGCAATTTAAATAGAACAGGTTTGAATAAAACCAATGACCAGAATAGGTTTCACTGGAATGGTGGTATTTAAACATTTGAACTTGAAAGTAATAAGAGAATTAGTCATACAGGTACCGTATTTGCCGGCGTATAAGACGACTTTTTGGCCCTGAAAAATATGCCTCCAAGTGGGGGGTCGTCTTATACGCCAGGTACACTTCAGATAGACTGCCCATAGTGCTTGCCCCGTGCCATAGTGGCCTCCCGATGCCCGCCTACTTCATTCCACATACCGTTCAGGCATCAGCAGCGCTGCTGGGTGTATGCTCGGCTGTTATGCGATTTTGCTGTTATGCGATTTTACCACACTCGCAAAATCGCACACAGCCGACCATATAACAAACTCTGTATTTTGAGTGGAAATGTTAGGGGGTCGTCTTATACGCCCAGTCGTCTTATACACCGGCAAATACGGTACCTGGGAACAAAAGCTTTCTAGGCAGTGGGAACCTCAGTGAAAAACCCTAAGGTGGAAAACTGCCTGAGATCTGTGAGGGGCAGGTAGCAGAGTGGTCAGTGTGGCCTAGAGCAGTGATCAAGGAGGACATGATATGGAACAGGTAACAGAGTGAGCAATGCATGTCATATAAGGTTTTGTAGGCCATTAGAAAGACTCTGGCTTTTATGGAGTGAAATGGGGGAGGTAGATATGATCTGATTTATGTTTTAAAAGGATGACTCTGGCTGCTATATTAAAAAAGTGTAGAGGTGCAAGGATGGAAACAGGGAGACAAATTAAGAGCCTAATAAAGTTAATTCAGGCATTTAGACTAGTAGAGGACTGGTGAGTAATGGGTGTATTCCAGATACTAGAAGAAAGCAACAGGATTTTCTGATGAACTAGATAATCCTAAACATCTGCCTACCTCCAAACTTCCTGATATGTACTGAAAGAGTGGATTAATCAATCTACACTAACTGTTTAGGTCTTTCCAGTTGGGTTTTCAGGTACTACTTGGAACACATTCCTAATGACACACTTATGTCTTAGAGATAAAGAAGAATGAAGTTAAATAACTTGTCCAAGGTCACAGAGTGTGTAGAGCGTAGAGTGCAGGCTTCAACAAAGAAAGGATTTTAAATCTACACACTATTTCATGTTACTCTATGTTCCTCAGTTTATATTTGCATAAGTGTATCCTTACCTATAAAATAAACTCAATATGCTATTAATTTCAGATGTGAAGTACTCTAAAAAAAATAAAGTGAGCAATCTTAGAGATACTCTTGATAGAAGTAGTTTCTGCTTAATTTATAAGTGTGGGACAAGGAAATACTGGGGTTCTTAACCACTCCTTTTCTCTTCCTACAATTTAATATCAAATGTTTATATTTTCTTTCAAGAGAGTCATCTAGGTTCTCGAAGTTGAACAAACAAATAAATATTATAGTATATACAAAGAGAAGTACTTCCGTGACCCACCAGTCAATGAGGTTGGTTATTTCACAGATATGCCTGTTCTAGTGTTTAAATTTTTGCCACAGAAAAATCACTGTAGAAAAATCATTCCAGTTCCTTTGTTTTTATACCTTTACACCTATATTTTCTTTAGTCATCTTTTCTAATGCAAAATGAACTTTTCCCTCAGTACACTTTTTTTTTTCACTACTGCAAATTCCACTAAAATGGTATTTAACAAGTAACATTTATTAGCAAAGAAACTATCTTGACATACACACTAGGTTAGGTCCAGCATTTCCTTAAAACTCAGTGTTTCATACTGCATGAAGGTATAGTAAGTACTATGCAGTGCATTCAAGTTACAAGAAAGGTGAATGCGGAATCAAATTATATGTGCTTGGTACAATAAATCTTCATTAAGTTCCTTATCAAGCATGCCATCCGAAATATTTCAACTTTACTCATAGAAAAATAGGACTTCAAAGGTTTCTCAAAGGGTCATGGTTCCACTTTCAGGAAGGACTAAGTGAAATCAAGGCAGAGCATTATCTACCTTATTCTTAAAAATATTCAGTCTATAACCTCTTTCACGACAGAATAAATTCTAATGCCCAACCTGAATTCTCTTGATGCAATTTAAATCCTTTTCCTGAGTAATTGCTGATTCTCACAGACATAATCTCATCTTTAAGTCTTTAAGATTTTAAACTACACATCTTTTAGCTTTTCTTACTGCAAACTGTTCAAATCTGACTTTACTGTGGCATTTTCTGAAAATTAAAACAATTTATTACTAAGCTCCAGGAATAAGTTGCCTTAACAATAGGTTTAAAAAATAATTTGTACCCTGGAGATATATATGTACTACTCACTAAAATCTGTCCTACCCACCCCAACCACTGATTTTAGGCTAAAATAGAAAATAAAACAAAAAACAAATAAGCAAATTCAATTAAACAAAATTCAATGAAAATAACAAACAAAAATACCTATCAATTAGAGAATGTTTTAACTTTAGGTAATTACCAACCTATATTCTAAAAGTTGGGCTTTAGGAGTTTTAAATTGTTTTCTCACATTTTCAGCATAGCGAGGAAAAGAATAAATGGTAAAATTCTGGGAATGGGAGTGCTTCCATTCACCCACTCCACTTTTAGTAGGCTGCAATGAAGACAAGTCTTAAGCTATAGCAGTGTGCTGAGTCAAGCACTCTAAATGAAGGAAGAACATATATGTCAGCCTTTAAAGGTACAATCAACTCAAGCAATCACTAATACTATATTTTGCCATGTATAATGTGCACTTTTTTGCCCAAATTTGTGAGGGGAAAACAAGGATGCACATTATACACGGGCAGTACTAATTCCATATCTAGATGAATGTTTTTAATTCTTTTATTTATGCTTATGAGTTAAAAGTGTAACTAGAAATAAGTAACGATATCCGTATGCAAAATAATACCCAGGAATATGATAATCGTTTTCTTGAATTTACAATGAACTTGCAACTACAAAGAGTTCTTGGCCTTCTATGAGGCGTAAATATTGTAAATTTGTTACTGGTACATAAAATTTCTTGTACCTTGTATCTGTTCTTGTGTTTTGTAATTATTTGTTACATAAGATTTCTTGTACTATAATTACATTAAAAAATAAATGCTAAAATTCCTTTTTAATACAAAAAAGTACCTAAATGTAAATAAATAAAAATGTGAATTAAAAAATTAAAACTGAAAATTTTTTCCCTGAATGTTTGGGCCAAAAATGTGGGTGTGCATTATACACAGGAGTACATTATACATGGCAAAATACAGTACTTTTGTACACTCAAATCAAAATCAATAATACAAAATTAGAGAGAACACAAAACTAATTTTTCATTGTATTTAATAATGTTCTCACCTAGCAATAAGTCAAAGGAAAGATTAATTAATTAATTAATTTTTTCTTTTCTTTTTTTTAGCTGAGCCATACTGCCACCTGTTGGCAGCTCAGCAGCAGCTCAGCGTGGGCCGGGAATCCAACTGGCGACCCTGTTGCTCAGAGGTCGCACTCTTGAGTGAGCTCTTAACCTACTGAGCCACTCGGCTGGTCCCCAGGAAAGATTTAGCTGAACTATAACTAGTCAAATTATCCAACAGAGTACATGAATGTGTGAGTATAACTTCCTAAGGATCTAAATAATAGTGAAGTATTTTTTTATCAAAATATTTTTATCAACCCTTTCCCCCACTCACAAGATTCGCACTTTCTTTTTATAAGCCTGACAGCTTCTTACTTCTCTTGCTGACTACAGCTATGACATAATAATTCTATCACCAACTAACTCATGCCTTTACATTCCTGCTTGTAACAATGATACAAAAATAGGTGTTATTTTGATAGACACACTATTAGTGTTGATTAATAAAAGCAGAAGCATATAGTATTGTAGTTTAAAGAAGCAATTTTCTTAATAAAAGTTTAAAGTACTCTTGGTAAGAGTCATCAAGCGGTATTTTGAAGAAAACTAATCATTGAAATATAGTTGTGCCACATAATGGAATTAGACTTATACTGCTGAAGTAAAAACATGAGAGTAATAAAGCACAGACATCTAGAATTACCTTTCAAGAGCTGCTCTCCGTTTTTCTACAAATTCAGTGGATGATGAATCTTCTTTACCCACTTTGACCTTGGTCATGCCTTTGAAAACATTGAATGAGATTCATGATGATTGTATATTATTATGAAATCGTCTTTTATAATCCCTTCTGCCTATTTTAAAATATTCTTTAAATTTGAACTTGACAAAAAGCTCCTAAATTTATAACCAGTATCACACTTTTGAGAAATTAAAACTCTTGATATATTAACTCTACTTGGTTAAGTACTTAGAAATAAAGCAGAGTTGAGCTGTATCTGTAGTTCCCTGACATATAACTTTTCGATTCCTTATCTGTTATATATTACACTCCTCGTAAATTAAAATGTAATTGTATTTCAATGAAATTCAAATTAGTAAACTGAAGCTCAATTAATATTTTCATTTCTTATGAGCAACAATTAAGGTTCTTTACTTTGAGGAGTAGAAAAACAAGTGTAATCAATGAATCTGCTAAATATTTTCTGTTATAGATACAAAGAACATGGTCTTGTTTATCATAGATGGTTTTGTACAATAATAGTTGAAATAACAAGCTCTTTTATAGACATTTAGAATTCTTCAAATTTAAAAAATAAAAATCATGTTAATAATTTCTGTACTGACAATTTCAATTTTAACATGAATATATCAGACTGTAGATGTTTCTTTCTTTTCCTTTCAAAAATTGATTCTGTAGACACATGCTACATGGATGAACCCTGAAAATATTATGCTAAATGAAAGAAACTTGTCAAAAAGGAACATATATTATATGATTCTCTTTATAGGAAATGTCCAGAACAGGCAAATTTATAGAGAAAGTACATTTGTGATTGCCTATGGCTGGGGGGTGGGGAAATTAGAGGATGATGGCTATGGGGGTAATAAAAATATTCTAATATGGATTGTGGTTTTGTATGCACAACTCTAAATATACTAGAAACCATTGAATGATATGCTTTAAATGTATGAACTGTATATCATGTGAGTTATATCTCAATCAAGTCATTAAAAATGGATTATGTAAAACCATGTAACTCTTATTCAGGTTGGTATATCAGGGAAATAAACATATATCACCTATGAATGTTCTGTTTAACTTAATATCTCTGAAATATAATAGCTTGAAAAGGAAAATTCAAAAACTTAAAATTACCTACCCTGAATGGACTACAAGATGTGGAATGTTCATTATTTCATATATTCTGTTTCCTTGGAAAAAACCTTACCATTATATATTTTGCTTTTTTTTTTTCTCCTTCAAGAATCTTCTGCTTATGCTATTTCATAGAGGTAACCATTATGGGCCACTCGGGCAAATTAAAAAAACCTTTCTAACCAGCTACCTCTTAAAACTTTCCAACTGCTTTGTTGCTCTTGTCTAAAAGCTTAGTAAAATAGTGTTTTCAAGACAACTAAGGTTTTATAAAAGTGGTACCAGTTATGTGCTAATAAAAAGACTCCCTTCCTTCAGTGGCAGTTACAGCTTCCCAGCGAAGAAGGAAGTCGCTGCTCTTATTCCACCACCCCACTATCAGTGTTGGTTATTTGAAAACCACTGGGTATGTAATTGAAAGGGTCTCCCATATCTTAAATTTTTCTTAATGTATTTTTACTTTAAAAAACTGATAGACAATATGAAATTTTTAAATGACTGCTTCTCTACTTGGTTGATTGCCAGGAAGCTCATATATCAATTTGTTACCCACATTTAATAACTGTTCAGACTTAATGCACACATTTTGGGGAAACTAGCTTGGCTTCATCTTACTATTTGACTATAATTATTTTTCCTGATAATTTTTTAATTTATATCTTAAAAAACAAAACTGCATTATATGCCAGTTGCCTCAAATCCTTTCTAGAATAAAGTGGTATATAAATAAATAATTTTAAAACAATTTAATCCTCTTAAATGTATAGTAGACAATTCTACAATCACATAGCATTATATTATTTTCAAAAACTGATAAAAAAGAAAAGCAAATCATAACTGTATTGAAAAAACTCATACCAAAATTAGAAGCAGGATAAAAAAGTGGTTAGGAGTACAGGCTCTGGAGTGAGGTGGCCTGCTTTCAGAGCTCAGCTCTGCCTCTTAGTAGCTACATGACATGGGGCATGTTACGTAACCTTGATGAACCCTGGCTTCCAGAAACAGTGGTTCTCAACCTGTGGGTCGCGACCCGTTTGGGGGTCGAACGACCCTTTCACAGGGGTCGCCTAAGACCATTGGAAAACAAAAAGATATTTATATTACGATTCATAACAGTAGCAAAATTATAGTTATAGAGTAGCAACGAAAATAATTTTATGGTTGGGGGTCACCACAACATGAGGAACTGTATTAAGGGGTTGCGGCATTAGGAAGGTTGAGAACCGCTGCATAACAAGTTTACCAAAGTTGTTGTGAGGATTAAGTGAGAAAGTAGGTAAATTATTTAGCACAGTGCCTTAGCACAGTAAGCACTCAATAAATGTTAATTATTCCTATAATTTAACTGATAGTTTTACAATTTAATGGGCTATCCTGGCCATGTAATGAATAATATGAACATAACTGTGTCTCTGTCCCTAGTACACTTTGAAGGCTGTCAAAATCAGTATCAGAAAGAATGCTCTTAAGATTTAGTTTCTTACTTTTATTTTGAATTTATGTGCTATTTATAATACTGCAATATCTATGGAAGGTTGAAAATTATTGAGGCAAAATATTAGTTTGAAACATAATGAACTTAAGCGTGAAAATTTAGCTTTAAATCTACTTTTTAGGTCAATGCTTAAAGACTAAACTTTAATTATCTAGCCACCAAAATGAGAAAGAATTTGTTGTTTTTCCTCTTTTGGTATATAAAATAGTTGCACAACTTAGTCAAAGGTAAAAAGGATATTAATAATTTATGAGAGATGAAATTTAATTCCCTACACAGATAGCAGGATATCAAAGATATCATTGCAATAGTTCAGAGAAGAGGAAAATAAGATTACTAACCAGATCAGCAGTTCTTAAAGTATGGTGAGATACCTGGAAGGTTTCAGAGACTTTTATGAGGGTTACGGGGTGGTGCAGAAAAGTCTATTTTCATAATAATAAGCTATTATTTGTCTTTTTTACTCTGATTCTTTCATGAGAGCTCAGTAAAGTTTTATAAAAGGTTATATGATGTGTTATATCACAACAGATTGAGTGTAGAAGCAGATATGAGAATATCACTATCTTAAAAGCCAGAAATTAATTTGCAAAAATGTAGAACAAAAACAAAAAAGCAAGCTACTCATTAATTTTTGTTTTACAAAAATTACTTTTCACAAAATTTTATTTGTTAACAGGTAGTGAGTTTATTGTTATTTTTAAATGAATTAATAAATGCAACTTTAAAATATCCTCATACAATAAATATCAATTGATATGGTCCTCAAAAGCAAAAGCTCTTTAGGGTTCTCAATAAATTTGAAGAATATTAAGAGTCTTGAGATGAAGAAGGTAAAGAACTGCACAACTAGATTTTTTAATTAAAAAAAAGAGAAAATATAAACAAACCCATTCAAATATATCTGGTTTCAAAAGTCATAAGATACTGATAAAATTACTCTTCAAACCAAATGTTTGAAAAAGTAAAATAATAAAGGTCAGCAAAATTCATTTTAAATATTTTTCAGAATAATCTTATGTATAAAGAAATGTAAAGTAAATAAAAACCTATGACTGAAAAAATAGAAAAAAATACTAAAAAATTTTAAGAGATGACAGAGAATGTCTTTTAATGGTTCTCCTCTTTTAAATTTTCTGCATAGTCTTAACTAAATCTTTATTACTTGTATAAGTAGAAATGTTTAAAACATTAAATTGAGGTACGAAATAAACTGAGTTTAAATAGCTCCTATCTGAGCGAGGCTATATCAAATCTTCTTTTTGGACAATGTATAGCTGAGAGGCAAACACCTCCATCCCTTAAGAAACATTATTAATATGCTATTAATATCAAATCCCTTTGAGTGTTTCTCAGTAATATGGTACTCTAGTGACCCTAAAAGGCTAGGGTTTTCAATTGCTTTCAACTTGGCGAATTCTGGCCCAATATTTAACATCATTGTATTATATAAAACAAAATCCTCAGTGTTAGAAAATAAAACCATTAGCTTATACAGTCTTTTGTTGATGAATGATTGTCATAAATGGAATATTCAAATTCAATATCTCTAGACATTATGAGATACGATAGTGAATGATTATGGATCCACAAATCTATATAGTTAAAATTGAACTAGTAACAGTAACAAAAGTTAATTTTTTTTTTTTGATTCATACTTACCTACTATACTCTTTTCTGGAGCCGGTGGCACAATATAACCGACATGTAAATACTTGCTTGCTAACTTGCTATGCAAACCGAGAAAGTCACTAAATCTTCTTTTAACTGAAAATTCACTCTTACTGAACATGGAAAGAGAAGTCTACAAGTGAAGAAGAGGTATTTCAAATTTTGAATACTAAGCAATTATTCAGAAGTTAATGTCATACATAATTGTGGACATACATATATATATATACACACACAGGTCTATTTTGCAAAAGAATGCAGAATAGCTAACTAACGTGGTATACAGATCTCTACAAATGAAAGAAAACCTAAATCATAGGTGTTTTTTAAAGAAACTTAAGAGGACAAAAAAATGTTTGCTTTGGGCCGGCCAAATGGCTCAGTTGGTTAAGAGCTCGCTCAAGAGTTTGAGCTCTGAGCAACAGCGGTTCGAGGCCAGCCCGAGCTGAGCAGCCGCTAAGCTGCCAATAGGTAGCAGGATGGCTCAGCTTAAAAAAAAAAAAAAAAAAAATGTTTGCTTTACCCTATCCTTGATTCATCCCATTGACTCTATATTTATGTTAATGATTCTTAAATCTTTACCTGTGGCCCAGATTTCCTCTGAGCTTCAGTCCAACATATCAAAATGCCCAATGGACACCTCCAGTTAAATCCTACTGCCACCTCAAATTCACCATATTTTCCCCTGCTGCAGTGTAAGTTCCATGAAAGAAGGGCACTGCTTGTGTTGTTTCCTACTATGCGTTAGTGCTTGAAAAACAACCTGACCCCACAGTGTTTAATAACTATCTGTTCAATGAATTAACAAATCTCACCCCTGTCCATACTGTGTTTCTCCACTTGTGTTGCCTTTTTTCCAGGATCATTTCAAGTACCACAAAATTCCTCTAGTCAGTAACTTAGGCATTCCCTCCTTTCTTTACTCTTATATCCAAGCTCTATCGATTCTACCTCCTACATAACTCAAAGAGCCATTCATTCCACTCATCCCCAGAACCAATGCCTTAATATAAAGTATTACATCTCACAGCTGGGTTGCTGCAGACTCTCTCTCTCTCCCTTTTAAGATCTGAAGGCCTACAATCTTTTTAAGAATTGCAATAGCCTCTTAACTATTAGAAATCCTGACCTCTACTTTGACTCTCCCAATTTATATTGAGTCAAAAAGGTTTTTCTAAAACAAAAATCTAATTGTGCCACACTCCTGTTTGAACCTCTTCAATGACTCTCCATTATCCTTAGGATAAAGTTCCAACTCCTTAATGTGGCTGTCCATAATATAGGGAGGCGTAGTGCCAAAATATTCAATCAGGTGCCACTTCTTACAGATCCTGGAAGGCACACTGCTTTCTTGACTTCTGGCTTTTACCATAAGCAAATCCCTTTACCTAGAAAACCATTCTTCTTCTTTCCTCCTGCACCACCTCCCCAAATCACTCTGCCTACCTTTGTCTAGATTAGGTCCCTACCTGCAGCCTCTCAAAGAATACTCACTTTATCTACCAACCCACTCACAACTCACTGCAACAATGTATTTGCAACCTCTACTGGATGGTCATCTCAGTAAAGACAGGGATCACTTACACCTTAATCATCCTTGTAGCCTCATACCACACTTAGAGAGGGCTCAATATTTTTTTAAAGGAGCAAAAGGCTCACCTTTGTTGTTACTCTATATGCCATGTAAGCATTCATGCCATCACCTATAAGAAAAAAAATCAAACCATACTATTAAAAATCATAAGCTTAACTCCACTCACACACAAAAAGTTAATTATGTGAGGCTGATTAACTTGATTGTGGTAATCATAATGCGTGCATACACTAAATTACATTGTACATCTTAAATATATAAATTTTACTTGTCAATTATATCTCAATAAAGCTAGAAGAAAAATAAGAAACAAGAAGCCCCTACAAGCTTAAAAATAAAAGCACCATTGTTACATATTGTAACAATGCATTTAGTAAAGAAAAACAGCACGTTGACAACAAAGTTAATTATGAAAAAGAAGCACAAAATATAATAAATATAGACTCACCAACTTTCTCTGGATCTGATACACCAATTTCTATATCAAAAACATCTCCATTTGCTTCTTCTTCAATCTAGGAATACATGTTTTTTGGTGTTAAAGATACCAATTTAGATTACTGTCATAACACTAATAACTATATTTTTTACCATCTAGTTTTTCACTAGGGTCACTGTCAAATCAATCAACTAAAAAAGCCATTCTGCACTCCATTTCTGATAAACAAAAGCTTTCATATTTCTTGACTACGCAAAAATACACATACGTGCATGCACGCACATGCGCGCCCCCCCCCCCCCGCAAAAAAGATCAGTTTGGAAAAGTAACACAAAATCTTGTGTTCTTGCAACTCAGATGTAGAAAACATGTTTTAATCTTCTGTAGAAATACTGGTTTTTTTTTGGCTCTACATATCAAATCTTCAGATTCAAATTATTAAAATAATTAGCTCCTTATTCATTTGTAATAGCATTTTCAATACTGTATCTCTACTCTTTAATAACCAGAAAGTAGCCATTACTTATGCTAGTAGATTCATTCCTACATGTACTTGCACCAATTATTATACTAATAAGCAACTTTAGAACCATGATTTCTCTGATTACCTAGTAAGCACATGTTCTTCGTGAAGCCAATGAAAGCATTATAAAGCTTATTGAAAAAAGCAGTAAGTACAAAAAAATTATAATCCTATGAGACTATAAAGAAGCACTTTTTAATGCCATTTTTGAGAACCAATCCTAAGAGCAGCTGCAGGAAAGTTTTGTTATTCTCAAGAAGCACAGAAACTGTTAAATACTACTAATTTTTAAAAGCAGTATTAACAGTCTAATACTATCTAAAATAAAAGGTGAGTCTTCTTTTTAAACATAATCTTTATTTCAAGGTTGCCCTCTTGTATAGATTTTTTTTTAAGTAAGCCTCACTTGAAAGATAACATATATAAAGTATATACATCCCAAGTGTACAGCTCGATAACTTTCACCAAGTGAACATATCTTTGTAACCAGAACCTAGATCAAGAAACAAACACCCTCATTAAACCCCAGGAGGCCCTCTTATTGCTTTCCCTCCAGTCAGAGCCCATCCTCCACTCTGCCAACACAATCACTAACATTTATTGCATGCTTTCATCAAATAAAATTACTCAAAATATCACTTTGTTGTGTTTAAATATTCAAAGCACTTTAATACATTATCATATTTGACCAACACAAGAACCCTGAGAGGCACGTATCATAAGATCACAAATGACAAATTCCTTGATTTAAGGAAAGTGATTTGCCCTAGTCCTCGGTTTAAAAAGTGATGGAGATAAAATCAGAAGCCAAATCACCTGACTTCTTTAGGCCAATGTGCTTTTTCCAAAATGTCTAAAAGGCTTTGATTAGAAATGACTAACAGGAGAAGTGTTGTTGGGCAGCAACAAAAAACTTACTATTTACATATTAATTTAGAATACAAACATTTTTCCATACCTCCTCCCTAGATCTATCAAAGATCACAGGAGCAGACATACTCTTTGATTCAATTCTGGGAGCAATGAGTGTAGTAGGGGTCACAGGTGTGACTGCTGGAGAAGGTTCTGAGGAGAGGATAAGTTCCCTTTCTGGACTGTCCAGAGAAACTTCTTCTGTGGCTTCTAGGTACAAATTAAACAAGTCAGTTAAGGACACCGGGAACAAACCCCCAATAGTCTGCCTATACATGAACTATGAAAAATATTTTATACTACCCACAAATATCAAAATGTTACTTAAAAAGTTATAATTTTATAAATCCTTCCTTAGTTGTTTATCAAAACTTTAAAACCAACAGTGACTTTGTTGATTTTAGGACGAATTCCAGTAAGTCAGCTTAATTATCTATACTAGTGGTAGGGATAAAGCTAGTAGGAAAGCAGTGATGTGGATAATTCCACAATCATTTGTTTGGATTTGTAATATATCTTATACTTGTGGTAACTTACCTTCCAAAATCTTTTATTCAGACTAACATTATGATTATTGTATACATATGAACACAAATTTTGTGGCAGAAGGCTGCCCAGAAATATCCCAACTAGGATTAAAAATTTGTTATGGAAAATTCATGAAGTTAGTAATCTAAAGCAATTAACTGCCAAAGATTACTGCATATTAGTTGAATACACAGATACGACACAAAGCAAATTAAGTGTTTAGGTTTTAACTTTATATGCTCATTCACTTGAAAAACCTAAAATTAAATATATTTAAAACCAAATCAAATCAATAAATTGAGTGTCTACAAGCTATGTAACATTGTGCTAAATGCAATGTAGAAACACAAAGAAATGTAAAATATCATACCTGCCCTCAGGAAGTTTATAATCTAGTTGGGAAAACAAGACATAAGCATGTGGAATGTTAAATAATAATAAAAGACAAATAATAGCCAAGAGAATAAAAAGAATGTTAGAAGACATTTAATTGCTGTATGAACTACAGAACAAACACTACAATTTGAGTTGAAATGGGAGACAATATTTTAGGGTGGGGAGAATCAGGAATAGTTCACAAAACTGATCGGAGAAGATTTGGATGGGTACAGAAACAAGGAGAAAGAATTTCATGAAAGTGAAATATAGCATAAGCAAAAAGCAAAACCAGAAAAATGAAAATTACTGTAAGTGGCCATAATGAAAACTACAGCTCTGCTGGTTCATAGAACTGCTAGCTATCAGGATAAGGCAGGCAGGGCTGTAAGGCACATAGGATCGGACCACTGGTTTCTAGCCAGTGGTTCTTAGATTCCTAGAGGTTTGGGACGGTAATAATGGTAGTCAGTGAGCCGTTTTAATTTTAACACCTCAAAAAGCATAGCAGTAATAACATATTTACCTGAAATAAGGGAAATATGTTAACATTTAAATATAAACATCTTAACATTTATTTATCAATCTACTCTCACTGGTTATCTCTTGCTGATGAGATCCTCACTTGGCACAGCTCTTTATTTTTTATATTAAAAATAAAAATAACAACCAAAATCTTTTCAACTATGATAAGCAGAGGAAGGAAATAGACTAGAGACATTGAGTAGACTATAGATGACCCTAATATAGCAAACTAAAATCTTGCAAGCAAGTTCAGGCAGTTAAGATTGCTAGCATTTATTCTTTTTCTTTTCTTTAATTAAAATTTATTGGGGTGACAGTATTTATTTTTTTAAATAAATGAAACCAATGATCAACAAATAAAAGAAAGAAAGTATATCAAAGTTAGGAGGTGTGAGATCTTTAATCTACAAACAAGCAGAACAATAAGCAGCAAACAAAACAAAACAGAAAAAAAAATTCTCTGAAAGAGGTACTGGTATTGACATAGATGCATAGACAAATAACTGTGAAAGACATTGTATTTTATTGAGATATCAGTATAGATAAAGTCATTTTAACTTTTCAATCACATTTTACTTTACTTGATAAACCAGGCTTTGTGTTCTTTGTACGGAGTTTGTAGGAAGCTTCAAAGTAAGAAAAGCTAAATATGATCTAAGTAACTAATACGGAGGGGGAACATGAAAAGAAATGCACAGAAACTTCAGTTTGGCATACTAATACAGTCTGCCTTAAGTTCTTCTCATGACTTCTTTTAGCAAAAGTAAACTAACATACTACAAGTTCATGAGGTTTCATTTAAACCAGACCTAAAGGTTCCAGGAGATACCCCATAGGTACGAAGTATAATGACAAACTTTTCCTTTGAAGAGCTACTTTGAGGACAAGCACAAATTGATTATGAAAATGTCAGCTAAGGAATATTTCACTCATATGATAGATACCAGAGAATTTTTAAATAAAGGAATACTCCTAAACTTACAGTTGGTATTATTTGCTGAAAAACTAAGTGAAATAAGCTAAGTACATTGGCAGAAACAAGTTCTAAAAGTCTAGAACAATTTCAATATTGGCAATTTGCTCACGCTCACTTATTGCTCTAGGACAGTTACCTAAAATGTCTTCAGTTAAGTCTGGTGCAGGATGTAAGAAACGGTGGAGGGCTCTGTAATCAATATATTTGGTGAACGCTCCCGAAGCTAATAATAATAACATGTCACACTTGAACTTTTTCTGGTACCACTACTGACATACTACAGTAGTACTTGAAATGCTACCCAAAACACATTAGCATACATACCGATACAATCTAATCCCCTTATGGTTTTAAAATCAAAGCAGCTAGATCACTAGAGCAATATCTATATTCTCGAGCATTTGAGATTTTGCTTTCTGGCACATCATCATCTTGATTCAAACTCTTACAAAAATTAAAACAAAATCTATATTCTCTCCTTTGATATAGGAGAAATAAAGTACATGTTCTTATTACTGGACAATAGTTTTCACCAATCTGGTAACAATGCTACTCTATTATGATTTCCTAGAACCATACTCCTCCATAGGAGGAATAATACACCTGCTTAAAGGCATTATACCTAAGATGCAAGTGTAGCATTAATTCATTCATACAAAAATGATCACACCAGGCTTAGAAAATCTGTCATTATGAAATGCAGCTGAGTTTAAGATAAAGCATAAAAAATGTTTGTTTGTAAATAACGAAGGAAACATGACTACGTTTAGTGTTTAGTTCGTTTCTTTTCTTTTTTTTTAAAAATAAACACTGACATTGACCATATCTGAATCACAATATTTAGTACAGACTACTAGCCAGACTAAAACACAAAAAAGATTTTTCTCATCATCTAAGTGTGCAAATATCACTGTTTAGTCCTTACTTGGCAAATTGCACACTATAAAAAAATCCAAAATCCTCTTTCCTTACACACACACACACACAGAGAATTGTGTTGTTTCAGCATACTTCATTTACACAGAATTCTGAGACTTCAAGTAAGAGTCTTTAATAAAATAGATAATCCAAAACTTCTAATATTATTAGAATATACACAATCTTACATTAATATCTACTTAGCAGAGAAAGGAATCATCTTTTAGATTAAAACATAAATGTCACAAAAAAATTTTGAGAACTACCTGGAAAAAGTCCATGAAAGGAAACAAAAAAGAATATTACAACTTTAGTTGACTATGATTTTGATTCTAAGTTGTTAGGTAGTTATATAAAAAAGGGGGGAATATGATTGATATTTGGTATCATATTTCAAATTTTCTGACATGATAAAATGCATGAATTCATCTGAAATAAAAACTTTTCATGGAACTAATCAAGCAGGAAATAATATAGACCTTTGTGATAGAAGGCTGTATCTTAAACATAAATACACAAAATGTACAAAAAATTCAGAATGGTTTCAATATTCAAACACTATAAAAGATGAGGGCATATTAGTAAATTTCAACTCAATGAAAACCAGTTTGGGTAAATTAAACTGTTAAACACACAAAGAGTTATCATTTTGATTGTATCATTCATTCTAAGGAACATTTGGATTTTTAATAAACAAACATTAAACTGTACCTAAGTCTTAATCTTCAAGCAGAAAATTGTTTTAAAGAGAGTTCAATTTTTTTAAAGGTAGGATGGACTACACCAAACCCTACCCCCACATTAAAAATAAATTCCTCAAGCATCAATTTACTCACCTAAAAGTGAATCAAAATGAAACAGGTGGTAATACTGAAGCATTAAAATAAAAACAGATTTCAACTATATATAGATTATAAATTAAGTGATTTTTAAATTCAGGGTTTACTTTTGCTTTGTGTCAACTTGTAATTAATAAAGAGTACAATCACTGCTATTGGGTTGTCAGACAAGTCATGACGTATTTGTCTATGTTTTTCATTGCAAAAATGCGTCATGACTTTTCCGACAACCCAATATTTCTCAAAGTCTGAAGGCCAAAACCATTATTATTAGTCTTTTAAGTCTAAGTACTGATCAAAAAATTAAATTATGATTTATTTTCAAGTGTGTAAAACCAGAAAACAATCACATTTTTGCTTCTCTCAACAGTCCATGTTTTCCACAAAGTTATCTAATTGAAAATTTTTATCATTCTAAGTTGTTAACAAGAAGAGCTACCACTAACACTTTACACAAAATTTCAGTTTTGCTTTTCGGAATAATTTCTAACAGGATATATTGGCCATTATTTAAAAAAAAAAAAAGATAGTTACAATTACCTGCAAAAAGATCTTCTCTGTCATCATCTAACACAACTTCTGCAGGTTTTGGACCATTGGAGTTTGTACTAACATCTTCTGTTAGAAGACTAGTTGGTTCTGGAGATGATGGACTTGACTGTTAAAAAAAAATAGTAATAAATAATGAATTGGCACGGTTATCTGTTATAATTACGTCTCTATACATTACAGAAATAGTACATTCTCTTGATATGCAGAGAAGAAAGAACAAGAACAGTTATTTATAATTCCTCCTCTGAGGGTAAGAGTGAACCAAAAACATACTTTTACTCACCTCACTTCTTATCAAAAAGTCACTTAAGTGTGAAATAAGAAAATCTTTTCTAATCACCCTTTTTGAGATACTTATTTGTCATGTTGTGTTATGATTAGCAAAAACAAAACTTAATGTTTTAGTCATATATAAGATTATTATATAGTCAAAACCAAATCTTGAAACTATATTGCATGTGTAAGAAGTTCAAAGTACTGCTTTACTACAGGAAGAAGGTTTAATACTAGATGAATTAAGACAATGATTATTCTAAAATTTCTATAGCTACAAACTAAAAATATGCTCTCTCCTCATTTACACTTTAAATAAGCTACGGGACTATTTTTGTACTTCTTAAAGTAAAATGACCACCATGATGAAATCTAGTTGTAAAGCTTTCAGCTTTATTATAGTTTTCTTGTAATAGTTCAAAGCAATACTCTTAAAAAAACATAACATAAAAAGGAAATTGTATATGTCAAAAGTGCACAGCTAAATATTTTCACAAACCCAACATCTCTGTGTAACCAGCACCTAGATGAAGAAAGGGAACACTATGAATCCAGAAGCTCCTCCCATTCTTTACCCTTTGCCCACCTGGCTTCTCCTGGCATCGATTAGTTTTTCCTGTTCTTCTCTTCATAAACAAGACTCGTACAGAATATATTCTTGTGTGTTGTTTTTGTTCTTAATGTTATGTATACAAGATTCTTCTATATTGGGGTATGGAGTAATAAATTACTTATTCTCGTTGTGTAAACTATCCCATTGTGTGAATATACTATAATTGATCCATTCTTCTGTTGATGGGCATTTGGGTAGCTATCAGTTTTTTATCACTATCAATAATGCTGTGTGAATTGTCTAGAGCAGAGGTCGGCAAACTGAGGTTCACGAGCCACATGCGGCTCTTTGGGTACATTCTGTCTTAAAAGTTTGCCAACCCCTGGAAGAGCCAATCCTATCCCTTCATAACAATTTAAAAATTATTTGAGAGCCATAAATATATTTTTATATAATCACCATTATGTGACTAATATCCTTTAAAATTTTTACTTCAGAGCCACATGTACGTACCCAAAGAGCCGCATGTGGCTCATGAGTCGCAGTTTGCTGACCCCTGGCAGCTCTTCCGTCTCAAAAGTTTGCCAACCCCTGCTCTAGTGCACATATCTTTTAGCAAACGTGAACAAATTTCTGTTTGGTATGTACCTAAGAGTGGAATAGCTGGATCACTAAACAAACTTCTAAAGTGGATATGTAATTTATACTTCCCCCAGCAATGTATGAAAAATTCAGTTGCTCTTTGTCAACACTTTCATACATTCCATCCTTTTCATTTTAGCTATTACGGCGTGCATAATGTGTATCTTATTGTGATTTGAATTTGCATTTCCCTGATAATGATACTGAGCAATTTTTCATGTTTAATGGCTATTTGGCTATCCCCTTTTATGAAGTCTCTTCAAGTATGTTGCCTATTTTTCTATTGTTCTTATTGATTTGTAGGCGTTCTTTATATGCTCTGGATACAAGTTCTTTTTCATGACAGAAACATATTGCACATATTATTTTCCCAGTCTGTGTGGCTTTCTTAATGGTAGATTTATTTATTTTTTATTTTTTTAAAAGATTTTATTGGGGAATTGGGGGATGGGAACAGCGCTGGGGAAACGGGGGAAGGGGAACAGACAAGTTGATGTCTTTTTGTTCTTCAGTCTAATTGTGGAAGACGTCGCTTCACTGGCCCAAGTTGGCACCATCATTGTACTCTTCCCGGGCGAGGCAGATCAGTCGCCGGCTTCTGGATGGCCACTCACTGCGGCTGCTGGCTGCTCACGCTGGTTGCTGGCCACACACAGTAGCCCATGACAACCCACTGCAGCAGGGGCTACATCCTACTCCGCCAGCGACCCACGGCAGCCCAGCTCCAGGTTTAGCCGCCGTTCAGCATCTCTGCTGCAGAGGGCAATGTCACTGGCCCTCATATGTGGGATCCAACCGGAGTCCTCTGGCGTCCCAAGCCAGCTCCCAACCAATGCGCCACTCCGCTGGTCCTAACACTAAAAATTTTAAATAGCCTACAGCATATTTACATAAAAATGTAGCATAATGGCTCCCACTCATTCATGACAAAAACTCTCAGCAAACTAGGAAGAAAAGTGAACGTCCTCAACTATGTAAAAAAAAAAAAACCCCAAAAAACCAACAACCCTACAATTACCATTATACTTAATGAGAAACTTGAAGCTTTACCACTAAGAACAGCAACAAGGCAAGAATATCCCCTTTCACCAATGCTTTTTTTTTTTTAAAGGCTTTATTGCGGAATGGGGGAGGGGAACAGACAAGATGCTGTCCTTTTGTTCTTCAGTCTAGTTGTGGAGAACGTCGCTTCACTGGCCCATGTTGGCATTATCATTACGCTTTTCTCGGGTGAGGCAGATCAGTCGCCAGCCACTGGACGGTGGCTCACAGTGGCTCTTGGCAGCTCACGCCGGCTGCCGGCTGCTCACAGTAGCTTACAGCAGCCCACTGCAGCTCCACTGTAGCCTAAGCTGTCGCTGGCGACTCACAGCAGCTCAGCTCCAGGTCGAGCCGTTATTCACTATCTTAGCTGTAAAGGGCACAGCGTCACTGGCCCTCATGTCACCACTGCTTTTTAACATTGTACTGGAAGTCCTGCCTAATGCAGCAAGACAAGAAAAGGAAATAAAATGTATACAGATTGGGAAGGAAGAAATAAAACTCTTTGTTTACAGATGACATGATTGTCTAAGCAGAAAATCCAAAAGAATTGACCAAAAAAACTCAAAAAACAAAAAGGCCTCCAGAATAAGCAAAGTTGCCTGAAACAAGGTTAATATACAAAAGTTAATCACTTTCCTGTATACTATCAATGAACAAATATAATTTGAAATTAAAAACATAATACCATTTACATTACACCACCCAAAAATGAAATTCTTAGGTATAAATCTAATAAAATATGTATAAGATCCATATGAGGAAAACTACAAAACTCTGATGAATGAAATCGAAGAGTTAAAAAAATGGATATTCCATGTTCATGAACAGGAAGGTTCAATAAGGTCAAGATGCCAGTTGTTCTCAACTTATCTATAGATTCAATGCAATCCCAAACAATATCCCAGCAAGTTCTTTTGTGGATATTGACATAATTATACTAAAGTTTATATGGAGAAGCAAAACAGGGAATAGCCAACACAATATTGAAGGAGACGAACAAAGTTGGAAGACTTAAGCTACTGACTTCAAAACTTACTATAAAGCTATAGTAATCAGACTGGCTTCTTTCACTTAGTAATATGCATTTAAGTTTCCTCTATGAATTTTCAGATTGCCTTCTTTTACTAATACAGATATTAGTGAAAGAATAAATACATCCATTGGACAGAACAGAGATTCCCCAAATAGACCCACATAAATACAGCCAACTAATCTTTGACAATGGAGCAAAGACAATACAACGAAGAAATAAAGTCTCTTCAACAAATAGTGCTGGAACAACTACACACCCACATGCAAAAATACAGACACAAGACCTTATACCCTTTATATAAATGAGCTCAGAATGGATCACAGACTTAAATGTAAAGAACAAAAATATAAAATTCTTAAAAGATAACACAGGAGAAAACCTGATGACCTTGGGCTCCATGACAAGTTTTTAGGTATAACAAAGGTACAATCTAAGATAAAGAATTGATGAGAAAGACGTAATTAAAATAAAAAATTTCTGCTTTGCAGCAAACATCATACTCAATGGGGAAAGGCTAAAAGCTTTCCCCTTAAGATCAGGCACAAGACAAGGCTGCCCACTTTCACCACTTCCATTCAACATATTTCTGGAAGTTCTAGCAACAGCAATCAGACAAGAAAATGAAATAAAAGGCATCCAAATTGGAGGAAGGAGGTAAAGTTGTCATTATATGCAGATGACATGATACTATATATACAGAATCCCAAAGACTCCACCAAAAAACTGCTAGAACTGATAAATAAATTTAGTAAGGTAGCAGGATACAAAATTAATATTCAGAAATCAGTTGCATTTGTATACACCAATAATAAACTATCAGAAGAAGAAATTAGGAAATCACACCCTTTTACAATTACTTCAAAAACAATAAAATATCTAGGAATATTAACCAAAGAAGTAAAAGACCTGTACTCAGAAAATTATAAGACACTGAAGAGAGAAATCAAAGAAGATACAAATAAATGGAAATACATACCATGTTCATGGATAGGAAGAATTAATATAGCTAAAATGCCAATACTACTTAAGGCAATATACAGATTCAATGCAATTCCTATCAAACTACCAAGGACATGTTCCTCAGAAAAAAACATATTATCCTAAAATTTATATGGAACCATAAAAGACCCCGAATAGCCACAGCAATCTTGAGGAATAAGAACAAAGTCAGAGGTATCACACTACCCGACATCAAATCATACTACAAGGCTACAGTAATCAAACAGTATGGTACTAGCATAAAAACAGACACATACACCAATGGAACAGAATAGAAAACCCAGAAATAAACCCATCCATATATGGTCATTTAATCTATGACAATGGAAGCAAGAATTTACTTTGGAGTAAAGATAGTCTATTTAATAAATGGTGCTGGGAAAATTGGACTGCCACGTGAAAAAAAATGAAAATGGACCACCTACTTATACCATATACAAGAACAAATTCAAAATGAATTAAAGACTTAAATGTAAGACCTGAAACCATAAAACTCCTAGAAGAAAACATAAGGAGTAAATTTGCAGGCATTGCCCTCAGTAATATTTTTACTGATATATCC